TCCATGGCGAACAGGGATTGTCATCCTGATCAGCTCTGAAATTCCCATCCCTGCCCTCCCATCTCCCCTGGATGGCTGCTAAGACCTAGGTATTTACCTGCTTCAACCAACTATCCACTACGGCCACCAAAAGCCTCCAATCTACTCTTCCAGCCTGTACCTTCCCATTATCCAACACCGACTGGAACTAGACAACTGTTCAGACCTGTTTCCTGTACTTCCTGAAATTTGCCTGTAAGACTGTTCTTCCTCACTCACACCTGTTGAAAATCCCACCCTTCCTTTAAGGCCTAGTTCAAACAACCCTCTGATGCATCTCAAAGCGCCCACACAGAAAGCGTCTGTCCCTTGTCTCGTTACCTTGCTTAGTGTTTCTTTATGGCACTTTTTGTTGGTTCTCTATAAACTACCTATAGTCTTCCCTCCTGCCCCAGTGCCTGCCCATGCTCCCACCTGGGCCAGCTTTTGTTCTTTTATACCAGATTCTGCCCATCTAGCCTACTCAAATTTTCCTTCCCATGGATCTTTCTCATCAGCACACACACATACATCGCTTCGCCCATCAAATGGGGGAGTCGATGATGGATTTTTCCAATGTCCTTCTCCCCATTTTTCCTACTACTGATCTAGACACTCACCATTCCACTGACATCCAAGGTACGAGTGATGTCCGTGTGTTTCTTTGCTAATTCCTCATTTCCCAAGCTCAAGGACCTCTTATCTACCTATATTCAACTCTAGTGATCTGATCCAGCCTCATGTTTTTAAATATTAAATGTAAACTTCCTGTGTAGATTCCTTCTGAATTTAACTCAAATCCAACTGCGTACTGTAAATTTCCAGAATCTGGTAACACTATTTTCACACTTACTATATTCAAAATTGAACCCTTGGTCAGTGGACCATTTCCCTCCTATCCTTTCTCATTTTCCCTCTTTCTGTCTCTTTCCAGCAGCTGAGAGCAGGCATGCACTCTCTGGCAAAATAACAACAACAAAAACAAAACAAAAATAAAACAAAAACTAAAGAGCCAGCAGGAGGCAAAATAAAAAAAAAAAAAAAGAAACCAAAAAGAGCCAGCTGGTGGCTTGGAGGTTAAGGTGTTGGATCCCACAGAGCCAACTGCAAGGTTTGTGTCGAATCTTATACTTGGCTTGAAAAATACGTATGGGCATTTTGGGTGTGTGACCCACATCCCTAGAGGAGAATGGAAAAGAGATTGCTGCTTGGCCATCCCCCTCAAGGGTGATTTCTCACTTTCTCTCTGGAGTGTACTATACACCCTATAGTGAAAACCAAACCAAAACATAGAAACAGCTCAAAGTAAGAGTCACACCACTGTTTACAATGGGAAGGTTTATTAAGGTTTTTCCTCAAGAGGAACAGCCAATCTCTTGCTTCTTAAGAGAAGCAATTATCAGGAAATGTATGTCACACCTTGGGCTCAGAACCACAGGAGGCCGCTCTTAACAAGCCAGAAGAACTTGCATCCATCCCATTTCCCTTTTAAAGCTCATTAATGTCTGCAAAACAGAATCCATGTTGCCTTCCCAGAAAACAGAAAGAGGCACCAAGTTCAAAGCCTCTGGCTGTTCTCAACAAGAATATCGGAGCTAGACAGGGCAATGAATAGACTGCATACTTAACAAACCCAAGATGGAACTGCAGTAAGAAAAACTCATGATCAATGCAATCTCTGTACTACATTTTCATGAATAACTTATATTTTTTACATTTTGGAGACTATAAATGCTAAAAGCTAGGTGGTTAGACTGCCTCAAAGCTCACATTCATTTCCTTCCCCACAAGATGGGCTCTTTGCAGAGCCTGGACAAGCACCCAAACCACTCTGCCCTTTTCATTTAGGAGTTGATTCAAGAGGGGCTATTCTAACACATATTTAGCACCTCGTACAAGACCCAAATAAAAGGTAATATTGTAAATTATTTTCCTCCTCCAAATACCTGACAATTTCTTCACTTTGGTTTCAACATACATACCATTTTTAAAAAACTATTTTATAATTTACTAACATCCTACTATGATTACTTACAAAAGAAAATACCAAGGTATTCCTTATTCTCGTTTCTGTCCCTTAGTCCCAAAACAAAACTCAGGTACATGAACTAAAAAATATTATATGTATTTGTACCCATGTGGACATGGAAGCAAGATATTACAAATTGGCCAGGTCCAGAAAACAGAATGTTTTATTACTACTCATATGTGGAGAAAAATAGCCTCAAATCAAGTTATGTTTTAATAAAGCTGGAAATAAAATAAAGATCAGTATTTTCTCTGAGGATTAACATTTCCAAGTAAGCTACAACTTCAAGAAGAGAACTGTCTTACTGAGGAGTAAAAGGTGCCATTTATGATGGCAGATGAAGGCTGAGCAGATTACTCACAAGATGTGAAAAGAGGAACACCAACATCCATACCTCTCCAAACATTCTCAAGAGAACTACCCCTGCAGCCACAGTACACTAGTGTTATTAATATCTCTGACGAAACTGTAGTATATCTTCCCTATTCCGTTAGATAACTCTGAAGGGAGGGCCTCTATGCCTCTTTGTGAGGCATGCACATTTGTGGAATACAGGGCTTGAATGTTTAATTCAATGCTGTAGAAGTGTTAGCTGATACTGAAGCTCCCCCTGGTGGAGGGCAAGATTATAGTTAGACAATGTATTTACTGTTAATTTCTAAAACTAGGTTGGTTGGGAGGACTACCAAGACCTTAAAAGTTGTCTCTTCTCATTGAAAAAAGCAAACTATTGACAGTGGCATTAAGCCTCTTTTAAGTTAGACATTACTCATATAACTTAAGCCGTTATACTTTATATAAACAGCCACAAATACTTCATAGGGTATCGGGTCCTAGATCTTTAGCACATGAAATTCATGCACCCCTAGACAACTTGATTTTTCAGCTATAAAAAATACATCTTATTTTTATGCGTCCTTCTCTGCAACCAAGACTAAGGAGTCCACAAAGGGACAGGATAAAAATATACCTGTCTCACTTTCTAACAGGATTCTTTTCTATTTTGCTCAGCAACCACAGATTTCCTTGAGATAGAAATGCACATCTCTCATTTCAGCCTGTCCTGCTCTGCATACCACTAGGCCAAAAAAGCATTTTTCAGGTGAGCCTAGAGCCAGGGAGTTAATGAAGCTGGATCTTCATGACTGACTGCAGTTCAAGTCCTGGACCTAGTGGCCTGAAAAGCACGCTGGGTGTATGTATGCATGCCCCAAATCCCAACAGAATGGAGAAGAGACTGCAGTATAATCACACCACTACGGGTGTCTGTGTGCTTTCTCTCTCTCTGTTTCTCTGGCAAGTGCAGATACCCTCTGGCAATTACAATGTTTAAAAGGTATTTTCCTTCACCATTGTCTTTACCCCCAGTGGATTATGTTAACTGTGCTCATCTTTCTCCATCACATTCTTTTTTTGGGGGGGGGGATGCTACAGGGCATGTGCACTCACCAGAAAGAGAGACAGAAAGTGAGAAATCACCCCCCAGAGGGGATGGCCACACTGCAATCCCTTCTCCATTCTCCTCTCGGGATCTTGGGCATACACACACAGGCACCCGCCATGAGTTTAAGCCACCGAGTCTGGGACTTGAACCGTGGTCAACTACATGGGAGTCCAGCGACATAGTCATTATGCCAACTGCTGGTCCCACCCACCACATTCTAAAATAGAGGACACTGAGCTTATGCTACTTATCGAGCAGACAAACTTGCTAGTGTATGGACATGTTTTACAGGGGAATTACTTGAGGATACTAAAATAAAACATGCTAACGTGACCTGGATAAACAGACCCTAATGCTTCAATTGTTTTCTTTTTTTTTCAAGTATTTTAAACTTTTTATATTTTTGACCCGTCAATCCCAGACAGATGCATAACTGGATCAGTAGAAGGGAAGTGTTAGGTAACTAAGTTTATTAGAAACTCAAAATAATACAATTTCCAATGTTTTAAAACAACATTTTAACATTTTCTCAGGTTGGTCAGAGCTTACATTTGAAACCTGATTTCAAAATCTCAATTTAGTAACTGGTGGGCTGACCACACTTCTGGAAAATCTCAGCAAGGCATGAACACTTCTTCATACCCAGCTGCAACAAGAAAGTATCTAGATCCCTGAGCAATGATTTAGACTTTCTAGGACTGGTCTTCTCCTCCTTAATTTGTGAGGACAAGGCACAGAGTTCCTAAGCTTGTTTTTTCTTCTCGTGCTTACCTGGCTAACAAGCTGTTTGCTCTACTTCTCCTTATGGAGAACACGCACATAATATCACCCGGGTCCATGTTCCACTTAAGCCCTATCTTTTATAAAAATGGAAAGAACAGGGAAGGAAAAAAAAAAAGCACCACTATATAGCCAGCTAAATTTTTAACTCAGCAATTTCTTCCATATTACTACTACTATACTACTTCATATATAGTTGGAGCAAAAGCTACTGACACATTCTTTACATGTGTTTTAACTTTCACTCACTTCTCAGATTCTTCCATCTAATATAAAGCAAGCTTGAAATTTTCATATGACACTTCATTGGTGGACCCATGTCCAACAAATTAACAATGGCAAAAGGATTCCTTTGATGCAATTACAAGCTGTGGAAGATTTGAACAGTAAAAGTTAAACCCTGATACAGTATTAAACTTATCTTTTTACATATAAAAATAATACACAGTGGGATATTTTATTCAATAAGATACAATCTTTAAGATCGAGAGAATATACAAAACTATTCTATGTAGTCTGATGTATTTCACTGTATAATAGGAATAAATATATCTAGAACAGAAAGTGTGAGATCTGTTCATAGAGAAATCACCAGTTACTCAGTATAGTTTAAAGCCAAGTGTTCTGCAGCCATCAGGCAGAAGGGAGCTACTGTCGCATTTAAAACAATGTGGTCATTATAAAATAAAGTCCTTAATTCCATAAACAATAACAAAACACACAAACCAATGAAAATGTACTAAAATTTAATCATCCATAAAAGCTGTAATTTAATCTGACAGTAAAACACAAGAAGCAATATTAGAGTTGGTTTAGTATATTATATATTTTAGCTTTGAAAGCCATAGAAATCAGTTATCCCAGTTTTTTTTCCTATAAAAGACCCATTTTTCCAAAGCATTATGCACAAACAATTTTAATTAGAATATAATGACAGATGATACTTCATATTTTTTTAAATATAAAATGAAGTCAATGACTCAAAAAAGTTATCTGCTGCAATGAGTCTGAGGGGAAATTTCATAATCTTTATCATTACAGATATAAAGTTTAACGGTTCAATTTTTAGTGCTTGACAGGGAGGAATCATGATAAAAAGGTCAATATGAAATCATTTGATTATAGTAGCAATATCTAACATTTGAAATGCATCCATGCTCTTTTGTATAATCATATTAGAGTCAAGTATATTTATTTTCACATCTGTTATAACTGCTATTGCAAAGGAGAAATACTATTGTCTTATTTTCCAAGAGATATACACAGAGCAATTTTTTTTTCTCCAGGGAACTTGTGCAAACCAATATAAGATCTAAATTCTTCACATAATATATAAAACAGGAGAAGCCTCTTCAGATTTGTTTTTTTGAAGTCTGGAATGCTGGCACTTTCCAATTAGGCAACAGTTCTTCATTCCTGTATTCTAAAACAAATGAACAGAAATAGACAGACAGACAGACACACACACACAAACAAATACGATTAAACACCTGATGTGGAAACATGGAAGTAAGCAAGCAGAAATCCAATAATATAGAAAACATGACTTTGGCTTATCATTACTAGAAAACTTTATACTGAATAGCTACAGTAACAGGGTTATTTTAAATACCTTTTTCTTTTTTTTGAGAGAGAGATTTTTGCTATAAGGTGCGTGCAGTCGTCTGTGAGACAGAGAGAAAGCAAGAAATCACCCCCTGGGGAGCTGGCTACGCCGTAATCTCTTGTCCTCCATTCTCTTCCTAGGATTTTGGGCACACACGCACGCACACCCAGCATGAGTTTCAAGCCTCCAGTTCTGGGACTAGAATGATGGTCAGCCATGTGGGAGTCCAGCACCTTAACCACTATACCACCTGTGGATCCCTAAATACCTTTTAAAAGTCATTAAAAATAATCAAATATAGAGAAAGAGTTCATAGCTAGGAGGAAGTCTATAAACAACTTTAGCTCTCCTCAGTTTTATTATACCTAATGTTTCACATTGTATCTGAGAGTACTGTCAAGAGAAAAGCAATGATATTTCTTTTCTTTAAAGAACTGCTTTATTCAAATTTCTTTTTTCTTTCTTTCCTTCCTTTCCTTTCTTTTTTTCTTTCTTTCTTCTCTCTTGTTCTCTTTTCTTCTTTCCTTCCTTCTTTAGTTTCCTCTCCTTTCCTTTCCCCTCCCTCTCTGTCTCTTTCTCTCTCTTTCTCAACTTGACCAGAGAAGGACAAAGAAAAATAGAGAGACAGTGAGAAAGTAAGCTGCCAGGTCCGGTCGGCCATGTGGGAGTCCAGCGCCCTTAGCCACCATACCATCTGCTGGTTCCGTGATATTTCACTTCTATTCTTAGACCACTTTATCACTGTATATACTACTTTTAAGGCAGGGTAAAGAGATGATACAGAAAGAGCTGGTCCCATATCCATGGGCAAATATACCAAAGGTAGCCTCTTACTGCTCAGCAGAAGAATATTAAGTTAAAGGAAGAATTCCTCATGAAGGATTTCTCTCAAAAGTCTTTAAAAATGGGATATATAAAAAAGAGATTAATATGTTCCTATACAATTTTGCCTAAAGACTATAAACTAGATAAGCACTCCCCATAGTTCATGTACTCTTAGTAAAAACATTTATAGTTGCTATTTAAATCTACCCTTTATCTCAATACTTAGAAAAGTATAGGAAAGGACCAGCCAGTGACTACCAGCCAGTAGTTAAAGTGGCTATATCCCATGTGGTCAACTGCACAGTTTAAATTCCATGGTTGAAAAGCACACTGGGCGCATGTGTGTGCATGTCCAAAATCCCAAGAGGAGAAGGGATTGCAGCATGCCCTCCTCGCCCCCCCCGCCCCCTGCCAGGGGTGTTCTCCCCCACCATCCTTCATTACTTTGACAGGCACCTGTGCCCTATAACAAAACTAAAAAGTACAGGGCAACTTGGCACTTCAAGTCTACAATCGCAATAAAATGCACTGTAAAGTACTCTGATTGCTAAGTCACCTATTATTTGGTATTAGCAACATTCACAGAGATCTCAAGTGATTTATTAGAGTTTAAGAATTTACACAACCAGGATGAAAGCCTTATTTCTAGATCTAGATCAAGATTTTTCCTTTGTAAGGTAAAACTCACCATAGGCAGAAGTTGGCACCTTTTCCTTTAAATAAAACTAAAAGTACATTTTCTTTCTTTTTAAGAAAGAGTTTTGCTATAGGGTACATGCGCTTGACAGAGAGAAAGAGACCTATTATTTGGTATTAGCAACATTCACAGAGATCTCAAGTGATTTATTAGAGTTTAAGAATTTACACAACCAGGATGAAAGCCTTATTTCTAGATCTAGATCAAGATTTTTCCTTTGTAAGGTAAAACTCACCATAGGCAGAAGTTGGCACCTTTTCCTTTAAATAAAACTAAAAGTACATTTTCTTTCTTTTTAAGAAAGAGTTTTGCTATAGGGTACATGCGCTTGACAGAGAGACAGAGAGATAGAAAGCAAGAAATCATCCCCCAGGGGGATGGCCACACTGCAATCCCTTCTCCTCCACTATCCTCCTGGAATTTTGGGCACATATGCACATGTGCCTGGCATGAGCTTCAAGCCACCAGGTCCAGGACTCAAACCATGGTCACTCACATGTAGGAATCCAGCAATGTAATCATTACTCTGTCTTCTGATCCCCAAAAATACATTTTCTAAGAAATGAAAATTAAAGTAGGGTTGCCTAAGGTAATGGTGTCAATAAGCTAGTCAACTGTAAGAGAGCTAAATAATACATTTAAGAACTAGAACTGAAGTTCTCATTTTCCCTACCCTTACCTAAACAAACATCAGTGATCTTCACAATAATCACTTTCAGGGAAATGATGATCTAACGTGATCAAATCAAGATTTCACTACAGTAACCACTGGCTAGAAGCTATTTTTCCTAAGTCTGATTACCAGAGACAAACACCGTAACTTTTCCTTTCTGCCCACTTGTCCTCTACTTTCATTTTAAAAGGGGATACAATTACTCAGTTGTTTCCCTTTAGAGAGATGCTTATTCATATCTCTAAGGAAGTACATGAGTTAATTTGGAGTTGTGCAAGAGGTAATCTACTAAACGGACTCAAGAGACTCAGTACAACCAGCTGTCAAGTGAGAAGAGTTTACTTTCTTCTAACTGGACCAATTTTGGTAAAATTCATAAAATTAGCATCAAATTACACCACAAATCCACTTCATGAAAATATTCTTTTATAGTATTATTTACAGAGTTATGAAATAAAAACTGTTCAGGAGATTTAAATACATAATTAAAAGAAGAAAAGCAAATGATCCCACAGGGCCTGGTTTCTTACTTGATAGGCAGCTTAACTGCCTCCATTAATTTCTCTCCAATGAGTCCACTTAAGGAAAACTGACGTAGTACTTAGAGTAAACTACTTTGCAGCCTACAGACGAAACGTTTATTTGAAAGAAGTTACCTGCAGCTAAGAAATACTGCTATACAAAGTATACACCACCTGAGATCCATTAGAATGGCCCAGTTAAAAAGACTGACAATATCCATTTTGGGTAGGATATGGAACTTATAAACTGCTGGTGGAGGTGTAAACTAGTACAATTACTTTATAAAACTTTCTAGTAGTAGCTACCAAAGTTGTCTGTATGTATGCAGGGTCTACATAGTTCATGGAAAATGCATATTATGAAGAAAATATGCATAGATTTCAAAACTTTTTGCACCAAAATAAACTTTTTCGAGTCCCCTCATATAATACATAATGTAGTCATCTGATTCCTAGAAATACACCTAACAGAAATGTATGCACATGTGCACAAAGACACGCACAGGAATGTGTACACCAGAACCACCCAGGCCAGTTCCCACAAAGGAAGATCAAATGTTCATCAATAGCAGAGTATTAAAATATGTTGCTAATATAGCCATACAATAAAAATGAGCTACTGCTAAATACAACATGGATAATTCTTTTTTTTTTTTTTTTTTGAAAGGGTTTTTGCTACAGGGCGTGTGCACTCGCCAGAAAGACAGACGGAGACAGAGAGACAGAAAGTGAGAAATAACCCCCCCAGGGGGGCAGACCACACCCCCCTCCCTTCTCCTCCATTCTCCTCTCGGGATCTTGGGTACGCACACACACGTGCCCGGCATGAGTTTAAGCCACCGGGTCTGGGACTCAAACCGTGGTCAACTACATAGGAGTCCAGCGACATAGCCATTACGCTAACTGCTGGTCCCAACATGGATAATTCTTGAAACATAGTTTTAAGTGAAAGAAAAGCAAGACATAAAATAGAAGTTTTGGCTTATATAAAATTCAGTGAGGTAAAACTATCCATGGTGTTAGAAATCAGGACAAAGAAAGCGTGACACACGAACATACACACACACACAAATATACACACACACACGTGTGTATGTGTGTGCATGTTCATTGTAACATAATTCATCAAATGTGCACTAATGACTTTGTTTCAGAGGAACCACTGTTTCACTTTAATTCAGCATGAATTTGGGAGTCATCTAGAAAAGCATTCCGTTTATTCCACCATGTTTAGAACACCCACACTGTAGCAGGTGCTGGGATGCAGAGGCAAACTAAATAGACATAGTCCTTGCCCTCCCAGAGCTAGAATCTCAAGGGGAAAGGGTAAATTGTCTAACAGGTCATGTACATACAAGTTACCTATCACATTTACAAATTACAGAGACTTAGAAGCACCCTAAGGTGGTTCTAAGAAGCACCTTACAAATTACAGAGACTTAGAAGCACCTAACAGGTGCGACGAAGTGGTTAAAGCTGGAGAAAACCCAGAATAAGAGGATGTGAAAGACTTCTACTCTGTTTTTAGCAACTTACCTGGCTCAGAGCTGCTGCTGACTACGGGTCTAGAGCAGCAGACACGATTTCTTTTTAGGCTTCTTCTTTTCCACTGGTGTTTTTCTATTTATCTGTCTGACCAGGTCATAAAATATCTAAGTAAAAACAAGAGAAAAGTACTTATTTGACCAACATTTGAGACCTGGCTCCACACAATCTTGGTTCTGTTAAATACTATTCTGCTCTTGCATCTGTATTTTGCTGCTTTGTTTTGAAGTCAGCTTTCTTAGAAGCCCTAGCTGATTCTCAGTCAGGATAAAGACTTACATATTTGTGATGAAGTATGAAATATACTTGTTCTTAGATATTTAGTATTAAATTAACAAAAATAATTGGTAGTAAAAAGTAAGGTAATGTAAACTTCAAACTTACTTAAAGTTAGAAGGATAAATATTAAGAACTTCTACCCATTCTTTGCAGATTCACCAATTAGTAACATCATGTTACTTTTATTTTATCAGTTTTTGCTCTCTACACACACATACGCTTGCACACACACACACACACACACACACACACTCATTTTCTGAGCCATTTGGGAGTAGTTTGCGTACACAGCTCCCTTAATAGTTGAATGTATATTGGGGCCAGCAGATGGCATAATGGTTACGTAGCTGAACTTCCAATGCAGTCAACCGTGGTTCGAATCCTGGACAAGCAGCTTAAAACTCATGCTAGGCATGTGTGCATGCATGTGTGCATGCTCAAGATCCCGAGGACAATGGAGAAGGGACTGCAGCATAGCTGTCCCCAGTGAGGGGTGGTTTCTTGTTTTCTGTCTCTCTCTGTTTCTTTGGAAAGCACATGTACCCTATAGCAAAAATCTCTCTCTAAAAAAAGTTGAGTGTGTATATATACCGAGAACAAGGATGTTCTCTTACATCACCACCTTATAGTTATCACATTGAAGACATTTAAGCATTGCTACATTACTCTGTATTAACCATAGTGCAAATTCAAATTTTGTTAATTATCCCAATAATGTCCTTTAACTTTCTTTTCAAGGGCTGCATCCATTCAGGATCACACAGTACATTTATCTCCTACTATTTTAGTCTTTTAAAAAATCTGGAAAAGTTCCTTGGCTTTTGTCTTTTTAGGACATTGTAATTTTTGAAAAATAAAGGCTAATAATGTTACAGATCTTCCCTCAACTTGAGCTTGTCTGATGTTTCCTCATGTTTAGATTCAGATTACACATTTTTTTGGGAGTAAAACAAAAGAGATGTTGTGTCCCTCTCACAATATAACATGTAGAAGGACGTGACTTTGTTTCCCTTTTCTGGTGATATTAATTTTGCTTAAACAACTAGAAAAAGCCCACTGATTCTTAAAAAAATAATACCTGTTAATAAGTCTTTTGGATTCATTTCTGGATGAAAAGAGCAAGTATCAAAGGCAAAGCCCAGCTGTGGTGGCATACAGGTCAGGAGGCTGGAAGCAATATGGGAGTACTGGGACTGGTTCCTTGGCCAACCTGAACACACTAGGTGTGATTGTGTAATCCTGGCCAATTGGGAAACTGAGGCAGGAGGATGGTGACACATCAAGATCCTATCACAAATACCTTTGTCTCACTGTTTTCTTCTCTCTCCTCATCTCTCTCGCAAAAGAAGAAAAAAAAAGTGTTACTTATTTTACAGGAGTAGATCATTGAAATTTTGATATGTTTATATGTAATAGTAGAGAGGCCAAAGTGTTGAAACCTGAAATGATCGGTGAATTTGGTTCTTTGCTATGAAATGTAAACACTCATTTACTAATGACCTAGAATAAAAATAATCATCATAGAAGTAATACAGTTACTCACTTGGAGTAAACAGAACTTTGCAGAAGTAGATTTTTAAAAATACACTGACTTTAAGGGGCATTACAAGGACAGTAGGCAAAATATGAAGGCATATCAAAATACAAATATATACCAACAAGGATGGTATCAACATTAATTTTTCTTTTATAATTATGTCATGGTTGTGGAAGAGCTCTGATCTGAGAATACACATACTAAAATATCTGGGAGCAGGGCCAGCTCTATAGTAATGGTTAAGTGCTGGGCAGAGGAAGCCAGATCCCACATGGCTCACCAGGGTTTGAGTCCTGGTCTCAGTGGATTACATGTTAGGTGTGTGCATATGTGCTCAAGCCCTACTGGGGAGTGCTTCCCTCACTTCCTGGGATGTGCACATGTTTGTTGGCATAAAGAAAAAAGCAAAACAAAAAAACGCTAAATTTTTTTTCCTTAGGAGTAAAGTAGTGATTTGAGCAAACATGGTAAGATGTTATTAACTAGTAAACCTGGATGAGGGGTAAACAGAAATTTTTTTTATTGTTCTTATATCTTTTGAGGAAATTAAAAAAATATTTTTTATATTTTTTCCTACATTTCTTTAAGATGGTAAACAATTACTTTTTTTTTTTTTAAGTTTATTATAGAGCCCACATGCTTGGCCAGGAGAGGGAGGGAGGGAGAAAGAAAGAAAGAAAGTGAGAAATCACTCCCATGGGTATGGCCATGCAACAATCCTTTCTCCTCCATTGTCCTCTTGGGATTTTAAGTACACATGCACATGTGCCCAAGCCACTGGGTCCAGACTCCAACTGTGCAGTCAGTCATGTGGGATCTGGTCACCTTAACCACATCACCAGCTGGCAGCCGGCCCACTACATTTCTTTAAGATGATAACCTATTTGCCTTTGAAAATGGTCCAAAGATTAATACTAAATTGCTAAAGAGAAAAAAGAAAAAAAAAAGATTTATTCCAAATCTATGACTCATTTATATTTTTTTGGTTCCATCTTTTCCACTCCCATCTTCTTCAAACCATTTAACTCTCTACTGCCTTATTTCTTAGAAGTGTTTGAAAATAAAATGTATGAACAAAACAGTAGTGTCTCTATAACTCCGATGTCCAAGTTATCACTTCCACAACTCTGAAGCCTTTATGAATTTTATGTACAAAAGCCCTTGGCTCAATGTATAAACTGTAATCGGAAAAATAATTTTAAAAAGTATAACTTAAAACAGAAAGCTAATCAAAATCACACATAGTTTCTATATCAGTTTCTTCATGTTAGCCAGTTTCTGTCTCTGATACTATACAGAAAGATAACTGATTTTTGTAGTATTATTCTAAATTATTTCTTTGGAAAACATTGCCTACCTCACAGCAGCAGATGGTTCAGTGATGAGGGCAAGTTCGAACTATAATATTTGGTTAGAAATGCTGAAAGTCCCCAGCCTAGGGTCCTCCTCATCTCTCTGAACTATAGAAAAATCTAAAGGGAACACAGAATAGAGTTTCTCAATCCCTCTCTCAATCCTAAATTGGGATGTCTTGATTCCAATCATTATAGCAGCCTCAGCAAAGAACAAATCATTCTTGATTAAGACTGATGTGATTCTGGTATAGCTATATACTACTTTGGAACATTGCAAAAAAGGTGTGCGTAAGGATTAAAACAAAACAAAACAAACTACCAGAGAGTTAGAGGGTTATGTAGCCAAGCAGTATGTCCTTGTCTGTTTTCAAATTTGAGGATAAGAGTTCAATCTTGTGAAGTATTATCTCTCTATCTTTAGGCATCTGGAAATCAGACAAATTTCCACAAGGCATAAGCTGCATGAGGAATCATTAACTAACAAAGGAATCCTGTAGCTGGATTATCAGGCAACAAAGAGAGGAACATGAAAAGAAACTCAGTTATACTCTCAAGAATTTTTAGCATGAAGTCTGCATATTTTTTTTAAAAAAGTAAAAGTGCTTAAGATGGCTTTTGTTTTGTTTTTCTATGTTTGTTTTATAAATCCTCATGTCAAGGGCCGACCTTAACAAGACTGCTGTGAAAAAGTAGCTCTGCTGCATTGGAAACTGCCACCCAAGGGGTTTAGTAGCTTGTAGGTCCCCACTAACAGGTAATGCTAAAGATAACAAGAGTTCCTCTCTGTTATGTTCTTGTTCCTGAAGAGAGAGGTCCTATGATAAGATCCTGGCCCAAACCAGCCCCAGCTGAGCCTGATGAACTTGGTGGGCAGGTACTAGTGAGGATGAGACATTCCAAAAAGAACAAACCAGATCCCTAGGGCCAACCATCCTGCAGATGGTGCCCTTGCAATACTGTCCCACTAGCCAAGCACATTCACTGATCCTAAAGTGATCTTTTAAAAAGTTTATTTTATTTTTCAAAGAAAAATAAGACTGTATCATCAGTCTTTACTTTTTTTTTTTTTTTTTTACAAATAATCTCTAGGAAGCTGTAATTTTATGACAGAGAAAGCTGACGCTAGAAGCATACCATATTTCTTTTCATTTATTTGACAGTAAACAGGAAATAACTGCTGTGGAATATCTTAGCAGGACCTGTTACCCCATTAGGATATAAACTTCATTAGGGCAGGAATCGTGTCTGTCTGGATGACTGTTACCTGGCTAACTAACACAGTGCTAGAGACACACAGTAAGTACTCATTAAATATTTGCTGAATAAATGACATTTATAAATTTCTTATTTATAAAAAATAACTGTTAAAAATGGTTTTAGCTAAAAAAGTAAACTTTGGCATTCTATATTATTGTAATACATATATATATATAACACAGGATTTGGAGTAAGGCTAATTTTTTTCCTGCCTGGTGTTTAAAGTAATTTGATCACTTAAAAATTCAGGTTAATAGTTTACAATAATATTATAAGTCATGGAAAAGAATCACAGGCCAGCAAGAAACATTAAATAAAAGTATAGGACTCTGACAATCTAACACACTCTTACTCTCATCTATGTTTTAAATAATCTGAATGCTAAGTGATTACCTGTGATGCTACAAAGAAGTATACAGACAAGAGAAAGGCCAGGAAAGAAGTCCACAGTGCTGTTTTTGTTCTTAAAAAATATGCTAAGATTAAAAAAGTGAAGAAAACCTTTTAAGTTTTTATCTGATTGATGTGGGCAGTTGGGGATTGCATTTTATTTTTTTTAGGGGTTCACTACACTGTGGTCTCTTTACATCTAGGCATACAGCTAAGTTGCTGAGCATTCCTGTCCACAGTTATCATCTCAAGATAGTGGAAAGTCTAACTCAAGGACAAAAACAAAAACAAAAAAGCCTTATGCACCTGCTTCATCAGGCCTCAAGGACTGAATGAGTTACAACTGTATGTCCACACTCACACGAATGACCTACTTTGAGACATGTACCAAAGGTACATAAGACCAGAATACCACATTCTGTAATATCCATGAAAGTAGTAGTATCTTTCTGTGCAACATAAGTTCATTGTAATAACTACTGTGGTTTTTGTGTTTTCTTACTTGACTTTACAATCTACTGATATTTATACACACCTGGCTAGATAACTGTTACAATACAGGGTGATGTGACATGTTTCACATTCCACTTTCTGCAATATCATTTAGATGCTCAACAAGACCTTCATACATGTTCTTCGATTCTAACACCCTCTTTGACAATAAAGTAAATGTAAATGTCTTTATAGCCATCAAAGTGATCTTATGCAAGCTAAGATATATGAATTCTAGGAATTACTTACTTTTTCTATAAACTGATAGAATCAAGATTGCTCAAAGAAAACCAAACATTTTTCTTTAAAAAAAGATTTTGACTGTTAATTTAAAGCAAAGGAAACAAAAAAGGCACGTGTTTGTGCTGCCCAGCAGCTCTAAGTTACCTCGTTAACGTTGATCTTTGACTTTGCAGAAGATTCTAAAAAGGCACAGTTACACCACTGTCTTGCTAAATTCTGGCCCTGTTCTTTGCCAACTACTCGCTCATCTTCCAGGTCACATTTATTGCCAACCAAAATCATTGGAACCTGTGGGAAGGAAATAACATAAAATGAGCAATAACATACCCATTACTTAAAGTCTTCTTTTAGAAACAAGAAATTACCTGCCACTGTCTAAAATGTATTAGTTAAAACTATAAGCTTCACCAAGTGCTTAAAAGGTATACATATGTGTACTGGGGGGAGACTTCAGGGGAAAAAAAGAGTCTGTGTATATATATATATATATATACACACACACACACACACACATACTTTCCCATATTTACCACATCCACATGTTACATTATTTTAAGAAAATTAAAAAATCTTCATATAAACCATTACTAATAGCTGGATTCAAAGAAAGAATGTCCTGCAAAACAGAAGAGCATAATCCTTGGGACTAACTGTTTTAAGTACTTCATCTCACAGGTCTAGTAAATGCCAAAAGTGGTAGCAAGACCAATACAATAGTAGGTTCTATTCTATGTTTGACATTTAGACATGAAGAACCATTTAGTAGAGATGTTAAAGAGGACTACCAGTAAAAGTAAATCCACAAAGCAGTTATGGCTTCCCTTTTTCTCCCTGCCATAGATACTTGGCTATATTCACCTACAACTCTCTATTTCCAGTAAAACAGATAACTAGTGAACTGCATTCATTTTCTCAACTAAAGGTGTCTACAGAATATAGTCATTTGTTTGTGAGGTGATGGACACTATGTAAAAGAAAGAATTTAAGGGACATGGTAGACTTTCTACCTAAAATAGGTATTTATCACAATTTAGATTAAACACACTAGGCCTCTACAACTCATCTCTTTCAGTTTATCATGTGGGATAATAGGATTAACACTACCATAGCTGAGTGAGGTGGACAGAACTGCCTATGAAAACAAGAACTTTTTTGGATAAATTACTCATGGACAGGAAGAAAACTATTCATTAGGTTACAGCTGGTCATGAGTCATGCAGTGTAAATATCTCTAACATACAATATTTTAAAAATAATTTTATTAATCATTGATTAATTATCATCATTATTTTAATGGAACAGAGACAGACAAAGAGAGAGAAAGGGAAATTGAGAAAACAAGCCACCAGGTCTGGGACTCAAACTGCAGTCAGCCCTGTGGGAATGAATCCAGCACGCTAACCACCATACCACCTGCTGGCCCCTTGCCTACACTATTACCCAAGGCTAAGGTCCTAACAAAGATATATATGAGGAGGACTTCAAAAAGATCATAGAAAATGCATTATTATAAAAAAGCTATGCATGGAGACCAGCAGATGACATAGTGGTTATGTTGCTGGACTCCCATGTAGTTGACTGTGGTTTGAGTCCTGGACCCAGAGGCTTAAAACTCATTCTGAGGGAACCAGCAGTTAGCGTAATGGCTATGTCGCTGGACTCCCACGTAGTCGACCGCGGTTTGTGTCCTGGACCCAGTGGCTTAAAACTCACGCCGGGCGTGTGTGCGTACGTGCCTAAGATCCCAAGAGGAATGGAGGAGAAGGGATTGCGGCGTGACCATCCCCCCTGGGGGGTGATTTAAAAAAACCCCTCATTCTGAGATGTGCGCTTACATACCCAAAATCCTGAGAGGAAAATGGAGGAGAAGGGATTGCAGCATGGCCATCCCCCTGGGGGGGGGGTGTGATTTCTTGCTTTCTGTCTGTTTCTCTGGCAAGTGCACACACTATAGCAAAAATCTTAAAATGAATAAATAAATAAATAAATAAAACAACTTTTATGCATGGGATTTCAAAATGTTGCATCAAAATAAATTCATATTTTAATCCCATTTAGAAATATGTATTTATTTAATTTTATTTGTCATTATTATTATTTCTAATTTGTTACAGGACACTCATGCTCATGAGACAGAGAGAGAGAGAGAGAGAGAGAAAGTGAGAAAGCCAGCTGCCAGGTTCAGGACTCAAACCGCAGTTGGCTATGTGGGAGTCCAGAGCCTCAACCACTGTGCCATCTGCTAGCTCCATTTAATTCCATTTTTCTTTCTTTTTTTATTTTAGAGAAATTTTTGCTATAGGCGTGTGCTCTCACTAGAGGGACAGAGAGACAGAAAGTGAGAAATCACCCCCTAGGAGGATGGCCATTTCTTCATTTCCTTTCAAGATTTTGGGTATACACACACATGCACCCTGTGTGAGTTTGAGGCTGCCAGATCCAGGATTCAAAACGTGACTGACAACATGCAAGTCCAGTGACATAATGGTCACACCATCTGCTGGTGCCTTAATTCCATTTTCTACAAGCTTTTTGAAGTCCCCTTAGATATGCTCCCACTAATAATTAGTACACACAAAAACAGCAAGAAAGACAAAAAATGAAGTCTTATATGTTAATTCATAAAACTGAAAAGGAACTCTTTGTAGCTCAAAACTGAGCTAAACATGTAAAACGCACATTTCATTTGTGCAAGAGAAAAAAGAGACACAATAAATACAATACCATTCATCAAACAGAACTTCTAAACAAAATTAAAATTTAAAAGTCCAGTTTATTAAAACCTTTAATATAACTCAAAGGAAAAACTCCACCGTGTCAATGGAATTTTAGAAACAGTAACATACCAGCATGGGTCTTAACAATGTTCTCTGAACCCTGTTTCTGACATAATTACCACCTTTCAAAGCTTGAGACCCATTTCTACCGAGGATTCTTTGACTCCTTTCTTTCTCTATTGCACTTTTAACCCACATGGCACAATGAGTGCTTTAATACAAAGGCCCTCATTCTCTAAACATCTCAGCTCTAAATCTGTAGGTTACTTTTGAGAGCTTTTTTTTTTTTTTTTTTTTTGTGAGTGAGGAGAGGTCACAGGGGCTCTTCTAGGCAAGCAGTAAATACCTTCCAAATCCTCTATGGATAGAGAAAACAGGTATTTGTATTTGGCAATAGAGAGATGGCAGTATGTCTTATTGAGAGAATACTTACATCTTCTGTGTCCTTAACTCGTAAAATCTGTTCTCTCAGGTCCTGTAAGTCGTTAAACGTGGACTGAGCTGTAATAGAATATACTAGTGCAAACCCTTGGCCATTCTTCATATACAAATCCCTCATTGCTGTAAATTGTTCCTATAATAAAAAAATATGCAATTGTAAATACATATATGTTTCTTAAACATATATTAGACTAATTCAAAACAGAATAATGAAAAGCAAGTTACTATATATTTTTTTATATGCTATTATGACAGAAGACACAGATGTAATACATAGTTTCCAGCAACTCTGAAGTAAATGTCTCTGTTCTTTCCTTAGGTGACTAGAAATAATGACAATGAACTGAAGCATTGAAAGGAATCCCTAACTATGTTAATTGCCTTTGTGTGATTTAGAAGCACTGTATATAATTCTTTTATTTTTTTAACATTAGATCCTAACTAATTTTCATCCTAATTAATTCTGCTTGGCAAATTATTGACACAACTTCTGCTCAAGTGGAAACAGTCAGGTATAAACCCAGTACTGAACTATGACTAAATCATCAGCATAAGCAATCTTGGTATCTCTACTGGCAGATTTTATTACCTTAACCATCAAAAGATACTTTTTATAAGAGCTCGTTCATATATTTTTACTTTTCCCCCAATTCCAAAACTTTCAGAAAGGAAATGGGATAGAACAATGGCTATCTATCTCCTTCAGTTAGATTCACTAATTGTTAACATTTTAGCCACTGAGTTTTAGTCACCTCAAATTAAAATTACCCTTGGTTTAAGCCTATTTCTTCATATTTGGTGACAATCATTACTATGTGTTACAATTATAGATGTTAATGCAAGGAGGAATCTTAGGGTTTTTTTTTTTTTTTTAGGTTTTAGGATTTTACATAGAGTACAGTCATGCATTGCTGAACAGAGATATGTTGTGAGAAATGTCAGGTGATTCTGTCACTGTACAACATTATAAAATATACTCGCACAAACCTCCCTGGTACAGCCTACTACCATCTATGGAACTACCATCGTTTATGCAGTCTGTTGTTAACCAAAACATGATTATGTAGTGTGAATGTAGTAAAGTACATAAGTAAGAAATTAAAAATGTGTTTATATTGGGTCTTTTCCTCTCTCTCTCTCCCTCGCTCTCGGAGAGGTTTTTGGTATAGGGCACGTGTGCTTGCCAGAAAAACAGAGAGACAGAGAGACAGAAAGCGAGAAATCATCCCCTAGCGGGGATGGCCACGCCGCAATCCCTTCTCCTCCATTCTCTTCTCAGGATCTTGGATACACATGCACACACGCCTGGCATTGAGTTTCAGCCACCAGGTCCAGGACTTGAACCATGGTCAAATACATGGGAGTTCAGCAACATAGCCATTACACCAACTGCTGGTCCCTATATTGGGCCTTTTTAACTATAGATTTTGAATCTTTGCATTCTGGGATGCATTAAACATAAAATAAGGCCCAAATCTACAAAGTTTCTTAAGCTCTTTCCTGTTGTGGCTCCTGGGCTCCCCACCATCACCATGTCTATGCTGTGTCCTACACCTGAAGTAGTTTCAGCTGTTTGACCTGACCCTGGCTGATGCGCTCACTTTCTCCAGGGAGTCAGCAATGCTGCCACTCAAGTCACTCCCCTAGTTTTAGATTTCCAGCTCTGGTGTGCCACAGGATTATGGCGGAGCACGCTATTCTGCTACCAGTGCACTTTCTGGGAAAGGTGTAAACACTGGAGTTTCCCTGGATTTTTCATTTATAAACTTTTTATATTCCATGCTAACACTGTTATGCTAATCAATTACATTTTGCCATTATCCAAATATTTGATTATATAATAAATGGGTTTACTTATGTAATCAATTACATTTTGCCATTATCCAAATGATTGATTATATAATAAATGAGTTTCCTTACAAATATGAGTGTCACAAATACTAACACTATTATTCCTGCCATGTTCTATGGAGATCACTGTCTCTGCTATTTATTAAATCAAAAGAATAAACACATACGAGCAACTTGAATTTAGAAAATACAACTTAAGAACAGTCCTTAGAGAACTGCTATGGTTGGTGTTACCACCTATTGAGAATGCTGACTTTCTTCTTCAGGATATTCTATGAAATTTACCTATTCAACAAATATCTGCTGAGGGCCCTCCATGTGCCAGATATTGTCGTAGCAATGGGGGTGTGTTGGTGACTATGAGAAGCAAAGATCTGTCCTGCAGGAATGTGTATGAAGATAAAGAAAATAAAGTATGCCAGATGGTAATAAACGTTACAGAGAAAGATGAAGCAGGGGGTGGGGAGGTAGGGAGTTTCTTTGAGGGTGGAACTGGAAGTTTATTTATTTTTTTGAGGTGGGGGGAATTCTTTGAGAATGGGACTAGAAGGTTATTTATTTATTTTAAGAGAGAATTTTGCTATAGGGCATGTGTGCTCACCAGAGAGACAGAAAGTGAGAAATCATTCTGGAGGAGAGGGGATGGTCACACAATCCCTTCTCTTCCATTCTCCTCTGAAGATCTTGGGCAAACATGTACATGCGCGCCTAGAATGAGTTAAGCCATTGGGTCTGGGACTCGAACTGGACGAGGTAATTTTTGTGTCAGGAGGTGAGGAAGCAGGCTCTATGCAAAGGAAGACTACTCCGGACAGAGGGAACAGCAAAAGCAAATGCTCTGAGGGGAGACATGTCCAGAGCTTTTGCAAAGGTGCCAAGAGGCTGGATTCACTGCAAGTGTTAACTAGGTGTGCACAGGAGGTGGGGTTGGAGAGCAAACAGAGGAGACTGATTATCATTTGGACCCCACAGGCAAATGTAAATATGGCAGTTAACTCTGATTTAAATGCCTAATTCAAGTTGAGACATGACCTGACTGATGTATTTTTAAATTTTAAAACATTTTATTTATTTCTCCCATGAGGTGGGAGGGAGAGGGATACTCCCAACAAGGTCTTTCTGTTGCAATCCATGCCCAGCCTCAGCCTACCAGATCATAGGCACAACTGTGTGCACACCTGGCATGTAGAGGGAAACCTCAGATTCCAATCTGAAACCTTCCCATATGGCTTCGGCATTGCAGGGCACTGTGTTACCAGGGCTGGGCATGATTTAAGTATTTAGTGGGATTACTGTGGTTATTATGCTGAAAATAATCAGAAAGGAGGCAATGACAGAAGCAGGGAGGCAATGACAGAAGCAGGGAGACAAGTTTTTGAGGATACTGACATAATCTAGGAAAGAGATGACAACTGTTTAGACCAAGGTGGTGTCATTAGATTCTAGCAGTGCAGCCTTTCAGTATTAGGTAAATTGTGAAGGAAAAGTCAAGAGGATTTACTTAATTTTGGATGTAGAATGTAACAAGAGTCAAAGATGAGTCCAAGGTTTTAGGCATAACCAAAAGGTGCTATACACTGATAGACTGAGGAAGTCCCAGATTGGGAAGGAATCTCAGGAGTTGTTTGGACATGCTAAATTTAAGGAGCTTATTAGACATATGAGAATACTGAACAGATAGTTAGATATAAGAATCTGAGCTTCAGAAAAAAATTCAAGATGGAGCTATAAATTTAGTAGTTACCAGCATATAGGTTGTATTCAAAAATCATACTACCAAAGAAGATATCCAAAATAGTGTTAGAAAAGAAAGAAGTCCAAGTATTGACTCTGAGGTCTTCCGAGGTTAAAAATTTGGGGAGGTAAATAGGAATTAGGAAAGGAGACTCAGGAGGTAACCCATGACTCAGAAATCTAAGCAATTTTTCTTTCTTAGAAGAATAAGAGTTTTATAGCAGAGGATAGTGATCAAGTAAGCCAAAGGCTGCTGAAAAGGGAGTTGAAAATATATGCAAGGAACAATTATGAATGACAGACCATGGACTTGAAGCTATGTGCATAGGCAGATGAGGATATAAGAGATCACAAAAAGATAATAAGGCAAATGAACTACCGGTTCCAATGAATTGAAGGGTTCAAAGGAAGTAAGATGGAAAGACAAGAAGCAGTGAGTGGAGAGTAGAATGCTTGAAAATGAGATCAGAGCCACTTTGCAGATGCTGCTCCTGAGTCTCCTGCCTTCAACCATGGTCAACCCTACCATATTCTTTGACATCACTATAGGTGACATGTCTTTGGGCTACACCTCCTTCAAGCTGTTTGCAGACAAAGTTCTAAAGAGAGCAGAAAACTTTCCTGCTTTGAGCACTGGAGAGAAAGGATTTGGTTATACGGATTCCTTCTCTCACAGAATTATTCCAGGGTTTAAGTGCCAGGGTGGTGACTTTATACACCATAACGGTACTGGTGGCAAGTCATCTATGATGATAAATTCAATGATGAGAACTTCATCCTGAAACATACAGACCCTGGCATTGTCCATGGCAGATGCTGGACCCAATACAAATGGTTCTCAGTTTTTCGACTGCACTGCCAAGACTGAATAGTTGGGTGGCGAGCATGTGGTCTTTGGCAAGATGAAAGAGGGCATGAATATTGTGGAAGCCATGGAACACTCTGGGTCCAAGAATGGCAAGACCAGCAAAAAGATCATCATTGCTGACTGTGGAAAACTCTAATGAACTTGATTTGTGTTTTCTCTTAACCACTAAACTTTTCCTTCTGTAGCTCAGGAGAGCAACCCTTCATCCCACCTGTTCACTATGTCCTGTAACCTGTGCTCTCACTGCAGTTCTTTGGGTTCCATACTTTCCTTATTCCCCCTCTAAATCTAGTTGAAATGCAAAGTTAAGTTATGCTTACGGAATAAAAACTAAGTAACAATTTAAAAAAAAAAGAAAAATGAGATTAGGGAGATACTATAGTTATTAGTAATCATAAGAGCCTGGGGTGAAACCACAGGTCACAATAATATTAATTTATTCAATAAGTTACTGGACCAGCAGGTGGCGTGGTGGTTAAGGGTGCTGGACTCCCACATGGCTGAACATGGTTCAAGTCCCAGACCTGAAAGATTGCTTTCTCACTCTTATCTCTCTTTCTTACTCTGTCCTTCTCTGGCCAAATTAAAACAAACAAATAAATATAAAGTTAAATAAAATAACTCTTAAAGATTACTTAAATAGGATAGCAATCAAGGAACTGACAGGGCAGGGTACCGGATCATTTACAGAATCTGTATAAATTCACCAAGAATTTTGGACAGTAAAATTAGTTTGACTGAAGCAGCACTGAAGAGAGAGAACAAAAATTTTCAAGGAGTAAGGAGTAATCTGGGACAGGACTAATGACCATCAGCTACTTTCACACTTTAGGATACAGCAATTAGACAATTACAACATAGTGTGTTGAAGGCTAGGACGGGAGATGTCCATGATATTTAAGAAAAGATCTCTGCAACGGGGAAGACCCTCCTTAAGACAAAATATCCTCACACTGTAGAGGTAAAAAAGTAGTAGAAAGTATTCTTTTTAGCTACCAGGGTTTCTGGGAACACAAAGGGGAATTTTGCTGATTCAAAAGTTAAGAAAATCAATGGTGGGTGGTGGTAAGATGGGGGAGAGCTTATTTAGCTGATAAGAGAAAAAAGTAGTTTAGGGGATGTTGTTCTCCCTGTGAGAATTAAGACCCATTTTCTCACAAAAGAATGGAGAAATATAGTATAAATAATACTATAATTGTCCCCACTGTGTTTATAGATATCTTTGAATTATCTGAAACTTTCTCATCATTTAAATTAGAAAAATCTGTGCATTTGAAATGACTTGTAATATTTAAGAATGCTATTCATTTTAAAGCTGGAAATTGCCTATTGGTTAAAGTCTATGTATATGGAGAAAAATAAAAGCAAAACAAAAGAAAAAATGTTTCATATATGCATTCTATGAGCCAGTGTGACTGGAAATCATCATTAATTAAAAAAATTTACAAATATAAAAATTTATAAACATGTGAACACGACATACAATTAAATACATCACGCTTGATTTCATAGACATAAGGACATTTTAGAAACCCTATTTTCAGATAATTTGTTTAATCAGAATGATTACTTTTACGCAGAAGAATTATTAGATAACAAACCTGCTCACAAATTAAAATCGATCAAAACCGGGACCAGCAGGTGGCATGGTGGTTCAGGCACTGGACACTTCCACATGGCCGACCACGGTTCAAGTCCTGGACCCGGTGGCTTGCTTTCTCACTTTTTCTCTCTCTCTTTCTCTGTCTGTGTCTGTCTCTGATCAAATTAAAGTAAATGAATGAATAAATAAAATAAATAAATAAATAAAATAGAAATAGAATTTAAATAAATAACTGACCAAAAAATTACTTAAAAAAAACCTATCAAAACCAAAAAAATTAAAATAATAAAAGGGAGAGAGACAGAGAGAAAGAAGACATCCTTACCGTCCCTGCTGTGTCCAGGATTTCGAGCATACACTGTTGGCAATCTACTTCAACTTGCTGTAGGGGACAAAAAGAAGAAACAATGAAAAGTAAACGTTAAAATGTTACTCCATTTTCCTCCCACCTCTTCACTTAAGGTACCTATTAACAACTACAAAGTCTTTCTCCAGCAGTTTGTGGTACTGACTAGGGATGAACTTGAGAACACAATAAAGAATAGGGGTATTAGCACATTCTATTAGTAAAGAAGCCAGGATGGTTGGTGTTGAGTTTAGATATGTTATGATCACTGTAACAATTCTTATTTGTTTACATTAGAAGGCAAACAGTCATATTTGGGAATTTAAGAAAAACTATAAAACATGGAACTAATCGATGATGTATGTAATGGTTATGTTGCTGGTCTCCCATGTAGTCAACTGTGGTTCAAGTATCGAACCCGGTGGCTTCAAATTCATGCCAGGACTGTGTGCGTGCCTGTGCCTGCACTTAAAATCCCAAGAAAAGGAGAATGGAAGAAAAGGGATTACAGCAGCATGGCCATCCCCCCCGGAAGTGGTTTCTCACTTTCTGTCTCTGTCTCTGCAGCAAGTACACACACCCTACAGCAAAAATCTCTCAGAACAACAACAAAACCTACAAAAACAAGTATAGTTCTAACAGAAAAAAATGTATATAATCACGTATATTTATATATCTTCCAAGAATACAAAGTACAAAAGTATTAAATGGCATAGAAAAGGTTTTGGGATAAAGAAGATTTTGCCAACTGATCAGAGTAGAGTTATTAGAATTTTACTAAAATATGTGTAAAATTTAATCCATAGGAAAATTTTAATTTAGGATACAAAGGGAAGACAGAAGTGTTCAGATAAATAGCACACTCATACATTCTTTAGGAGTTAAAGAAAAAAGGCAGTTCTTCAAAAAATTTCTCTGTAGATGATAAAATTTTATACACTAAATTCCATTTTCTTACTATCTTATAATAGAGCAAGCTGTTGTATATAAAATATCAACTATCTACTGGGTAGAAAACTTTTGATAAAGAAGGGATTAAAACAGTCCTTTAGCATTCTGGGTACACATCTTGTTTTGTAGTTAAAGATTCAATTAGCCAAGTATTTTGGCGAAATTTCAGTAAAACAAAATAACCATATTCTTTAAAAAATAACCATATTAGGGACCAGCAGTTGGCGTAATGGCTATGTTGCTGGATTCCCATGTAGTCGACCATGGTTTAAGTCCCAGACCCGGTGGCTTAAACTCATGCCGGGTGCATGTGCCCAAGATCCCAACAGGAGAATGGAGGAGAAGGGGTTGCAGCGTGGCCATCCCCCATGGGGGGGGGGCGATTTCTCACTTTCTGTCTCTCTGTTTCTCTCTGTCTTTCTGGAGAGTGCATGTGCCCTATAGCAAAAACCTCTTCAAAATAATAATAATAATAATAATAATAATAATTACCGTGTTAACCCGAAGCCGTATTTTAAACTCTGAGTCTGTGTCAGATCAGGGACTCATGAGGAGCATGCAACCTCCTCTTCCTACCACCCTAGGGATGAGGATGCTGACCTGAAAATCTGCAACTGGGTGCGGTCAATGAATACTGAATTAGGTCTGTAGTTCTCCATGTAGCTTGAGCACAATTTTGTCTTCAATTTAAAGACAGTAAAATTGCTCTGTCAATATTACTTAATAAACTACTTCAAAAAAAGTTTCGGCACTATTAAACAAATTCTAAAAATATCTAACAAAATAACTCTAAAAATATCTAACAAAATAATCCTTATCTATTTGATGAAAGGTAGGTTTTTTTTTGTTGTTTGTTTTTTTTTTGCATACCCTGGCTACTAGTCTTTTATAACACTATCTTTTCTCCTGCCCCAATACACTTGGGAAGTACAATCATGAACATTTTTTGGGACCAGCAGATGGCATAATGGCTACGTCGATGGACTCCCACATGGCTGACTATGATTCAAGTACAGGACTCGGAGGTTTGAAACTCACGCTGGGTGCATGTGCACCCAAGATCCCAAGAGGAAATAGAAGAGAAGGGAGTACACCATGGCCATCCCCTCTGGAGTATGATTTTTCACTTTCTGTCTCTCTGGTGAATGCACATGCCCTATAACAAAAAATCTCTCTCTCTCAAAAAAAAGGAGAACATTTTCCATAAGTCTAGCTAGTCTCATAATTAAATATTTTATATAGCACACACGCATATAACACACACACATATATATGTGTGTGTGTGTTTTATTTGTCTAGACTAGCTATACAACTCCTTCCCCTACCTTTTTAATTGCCTTCATTTTCTAGAGCAATTTTACAAAACTGAGGGGAAGGCAGAGAGACTCCCCTGTAGTCCATGCATGCACAAATGCACATCCTCCCCCACTATCAAAATCCTGCACCACCAGGTGAGTACACTTGTTACAGCTGATGCTCCTACACTGACACATCATTCCCATGAAAACCCACAGTTCCCCTGGTTTCTTTTTGGTGTTACACAATCAGTGGGTTTTGACAAATGTATGCCATGTATCCCATTCTAGTATCATATAGAATCTGAGTAATTTTTTTACAGTATAAAGTAAAATATTGTTTAAGTTATTACATAACTAAACAAAAATCAAAACTTTTAGTCACTGGGTAACTTCAAAGATAAAAACAACCTTAATTTTCAATAAAAAGTTTTTGAAAACATTTTCTCTATATTCAAAAGGTACCCACTAGGAAATTTAACTGAACTACACAACTTTTATTAAAAGCTTTCCACATAGCTCATAGTTGACACTCTGTTCATATATTACAGAACAAATTGCTAATTAGTAACAGAACATGGAGCTCTTTACCTAAGTAGTAGTCTATAAGAAGTATTTAGTATAGGTGAGACTTTTAAAAATGATACAAACCATTTATATAATTTCTTGAATTTATTTTTAAAGAGGAAGTCTGTGGATTAAGTTTTAAAGTAATAAGGAACTATTTGCAATCATGTATATAATAGTTTCACATATTACCTTTCTGTAGGAATCTTCTATCGTTGGGTCATATTTTTCAACAAAAATTCCCTGAACAAATTGAACTGTCTGTGGGGGGGAAAAAAAAAGAAAAGTTAAGGCTTGAAAAAAGAAAAGAAAACAAAAAACCCTCTCAAAGGTTACTTAACCTCACAAAGTTGTAAAGATGAAATGAAATTATGTGAAAATTCTATGTAAATATAAGGTATAATTATTTTTCAATACAAGGATATATCCATAACTGAGATGGCTATGTTAAAACCCATCATCTATACTACTATTACATTGTTAAATAATTACTATATTAAGTTTCAAAATTAGATTCTAATTTATCAAAAAATGAAAAATCATCAGTACTTAAACTCCTACTGCCTCTTTATTTCTCTACAGTAACTCTTATCTTATGCTCTTAAATGTGAGAAACAACTAATCTAAATTTTAAGAAGTCTTTCTAGGGCCAGTGTCTGGCTGGTGGTTAAGGAGGCTGGACCCCACAGGCTGACTGGGTGGTTCAAGTTCCAGATGAGCAGCTTGAAAACTGTGCCAGGAACATGTGCCTGCATGCCCAAAATCTCGACGAGAGGGAGAAAGGAAGGAGAAAGGACTGCAATGTGACCATGCCCCGTGGAATTTCTTACTTTTCCCTCTGTCTCCTTACCAGGCACATGTGTCCAGTGACAAAAAATTTAAAAAGTCTACTTATGGGAGAAAAAAGAAATAGAAATTTATTGAATGCCTACTGTTTTCCAAGAACTAATCTGGTAGTCCCTTTTAATTTACAATTTTTGCATTCACCTCAAAAGTTGTTGTTGTTCCCTTTGCCAGGTGAGACTCAAACATATGTCTTCCTGATTTCAAAACCTTACTCTTCCCATTGAAAATACTACTTACTCATCTTTCTTCAGACATTATCTACTTTATCTCTATGGTTTCTGTAAGTAAATATTTTAGTAGGAACAACATATTTTATCACTCAACAAATAAAAAGTAGTTCGGTAGATGGTTGTAAGATATTTCCTAGACAGCTTTTTAAAATGGGGTCTGGTACATTATTGTCTAAAAATAAGGGTAAGAAGGTCATCTGCACTTAAATTACTCAGAGGAATATTTTATATATGATTTTAGCTTGAGCTAAATATATTTCTTGAATATAGTAAACTTCAAACTTCTTCCTCCTGTTAAGCGCCTATTTTTTAAATGAAACACAGAATCACACCAAAAACTTTATCAAGGATTTTACCACTTCACCTTAGTATGATACATATTCACAGATATTCAGAGTAGAATACTATTCAACCATTAAAAAGAATGCAACAGCTTCACATAATACTGATTTGTAAGGATATCCAAGAAGTATTATTTAGAGAGAAAAGATGCCAAACATTGTAGACTACCATGTGTGTTTTACTTAAATTTATTTAACTAGCCCTCTACTAGTAAGGCATTTAGGTTGCTTCCAATCTTATCACTGTAAAGAATGTTGCAATAAAAATCCTTAGCTATATCATTTTGCACAAGTGAATTTGTTCGTGGGATAAATTTCCAGAAAGAATTGCCAAATTGAAAAGTTACATGGGGCCAGCTGGTGGTGTGGAGGTCAGGGATGCTGGATCCCACATGGCCAATTGCACGGTTTTAAATCTCAGACCCTACAGCTTGAAAAATACACCAGACGTGTGTACATGTGTGCCCAAAATTCCAACAGAAAATGAAGGAGGAGGGAGTGCAGTGTGGTCATCCCACCTGGGGTTGCTTTCCCATCCCTCACCCTACCCAGTGACCACATGCACTCTATAGCAAAAATTTTAAATTAAAAAAAAAAAAAAGTAAACTTGGATATCTTTAAAATGACTGATATTCTCAAATATTCTCCACAGAGGTACTAATTTACATTCCTAAAAAGTAATTTAATTATCATGAGATTAAATTCCATTAATATAGTGATGGTACCCAAAGTTGTATCACAGGCCTCTCTCTTTTTTTTTAAATTATTTATTTAACTTTACTTGTTCATTCATTCATTTTTAATTTGACTAGAGAGATACAGAGAGAGAGAGAGACAAGGTGAGAGAGCAGGTCCAGGACTTGAACCGTGGTCAGCCATGTGGGAGCACCCAGCGCACCTTAACCACCATGCCACCTGCTGGTCCTTTTTTTTTTTTTTTTTAAAGATATTTTTACTATAGAGATTTTGTATGTGTTCACCAGAGAGATAGAGACAGAGAGACAGGAAGCAAGAAATCACCCCCTGGGGGAATTGCCGTACTGCAACCCCTTCGCCTCATTCTCCTCTTGCATTTTGGGCACGTGTGCACACACACACATGTGCGCATGCACCTGATTCAAGTTTTAGGCTACCAGGTCCAGGACTCGAACCATAGTTGGCTGCAGTTGGCCATGTGGAAGTTTAGCAACGTGACTATTGCACCATCTGCTGGCCCCATAGGCCTCTCTTCTAAGCTTTTATAGGTCTCTTTATATGTCTCACCAACATAGAAAGTTTAACAGGATTCTTTTTTTTACTCTAAACACCTTCAGTGTTTCCTTTCTCTTTTTATCCATTCATAAAATAAGTACCTCAAACTAGCAACCTGGGAATTACCTTTGACAGACAGCCCCTTCTCTCCTAGTCCCCATATCAAGCTAGACCTAAGTTATGTCACTTCTGCCTCCTATTTAATCCTCAAACCATCTTTACTGCCATGACCTGATTTAAGTTTCTATAAGCAATAACCTGATATACTGCATTAATTCCCAGTTTGTCTTCCACTCTTCCTATAAATTACTCTACATTAAGTAAAATTCTCTCTCTCTCTAAACATATACCTAATTCACTCTCTCTCCTTCTCTCTCTACACACAGGCATGCACAGACACACACACACACACACACACACACACACACACACACCCTGCCCACCAACAATCTCTACCTTCAATGTCTTCTCATTGTTATTAGGAATAAGTTCCAAGTCCCTACATGATCTTCTAGTCATGATCTGGCCCCTGCCTGCTTCTTACTTCATTTTCTTCAACTCTCCTCCCTGTTCACTCTCGCCCCAGCAATACTGACTTTTCTATCGATTGTTCAAATGTTAACTTAGGATCATTTGTCAAAGGTTCGCTCAAAAATCTGTATTTTTCTTTCAGAGTATCTCTCACAATTATAATCAAGTAGTTCTTTGTTTAACTGTGTATTTATTACATCTCCTTTTCTGTGCCGTGGGTTCTACGAGAGACTGTGCTCATTGTTGTGACCCTAGAATCTGACATAGTAAAAGCTCAATAATTATTTGCTAAGTGAATACAGCATGTATGAAAAAAAAAATTTAACTTCCATTCTATATGTTGGAGGCAGGAAAAGACTTATCCCATTAGAATCTGTAATAATCTGTTTCTCTCACTAGAATGTATCTTCCCTGAAAATGAGAACAATCTTATTTCTCTGAATCATGAACACTGATGCTTGACATATAAAGTAGCCAATACATAATTGGCAAATGAAAGAATAAATGACCCACCATTATAACTACACATCTGTGGTTACTGAATGATTTCCTATCTCTTGTGGCCCAGATACTAGGTATGTAAAAAAATACTACCACCATTTCTCTTCAGTGGCTAATAGTCTAAAATCAAGCAATGTCAAATTCTTTGTATATTATACTAATTAGCTATAGTTAGGTGGCTAACTTACCAGAGCAGACTTCCCCACGCCTCCTGAACCAAGGACCACTAGCTTGTACTCACGCATGATGTGATCTGTTTAAATACAGACAATCTAAAAAAAAAAAAAATCAAAGATTAACAAGCATGTTAAGCCTAGCCTAAGAATGCATGACTATTATATCATATACAAGGTTTTTTTTTTTTTTTTCCGTTTTTCCTTAAAACCATCAAGGAGACTAAACAGAGGTGACATGTGTTCTGTTACAGAACTACTGCCAGGCATTTTAATTCACTGAAAATCATCTCTGACTAGGCATCAAACACTGGTCTGTTACTATTAATTTTTTTTAAAAATCATGTTATTTAATTTTATTTATTTATTTATTTACTTATTTATTTATTTAAATTTGACCAGAGAGAGGGAGGAGGAGGGAGAGTGAGAGAAAGTGAGAAAGCAAGCCACCAGGTCCAGGACTCTAACTACATCTGGTCACGTGGGAGTCCAGGGCCTTTACACCACCTGTTGGTCCCTGTTACTGTTATTTCTAAGAATGCTTCATCAGAAAACAAGATGATTAAAAACCATTCTGGGCTGAGATGAAATGTGCTCGTGGTGGAGGCAGAGGAGCTGAGCAGGAGCCATGGCCAGTACAGTGGTAGCAGCTGGACTGACCATTGCTGCTGCTGGATTTGCAGGTCGTTATGTTTTGCAAGCCATGAAGCATATGGAGCCTCAATAAAACAAGTTTTTCAAAGTCTATTGAAATGTGCCTTCAGTGGTGGTTATTACAGAAGTAGATTTGAACTCAAAATGACAAAATAGGAAGCTGCATTAATATTTGGTGTAAGCCCTACTGCTAATAAAGGAAAAATACAAGAAGTTCATCAACAAATAATGCTTTTAAATCATCTAGACAAAGGAGGATCTCCTTATATAGCAGACAAAATCAATGAAGCTAAAGATTTCCTAGATGGGACCAGCAGTTAGCGTAATGGCTATGTCGCTGGACTCCCATGTAGTTGACGGCGGTTCGAGTCCCAGACGTGGTGGCTTAAACTCCCGCTGGGTGTGTGCGTGTGTGTGCCCAAGATCCCAAGAGGAGAATGGAGGAGATGACATGGCCATCCCCCCTGGGGGGTGATTTCTCGCTTTCTGTCTCTATGTCTCTCTCTGTCTAGTGAGCGCACGCACCCTATAGCAAAAACCTCTCCAAAAAAAGAAGGAAAAAAAAAAAAGACTATTTAGCAATTCTCAATAATTATGGACAAATGCCTTGCTCTCAAGGAGCCTACAAGCTAGTGGCAAATTGACAAATTAGTAATAAATGTAGTTGTTCAAGGTATAGACAACCAACCCAGCTACTTTGGAACCTTGTATTTAATGGTGAATTTAGCCAAGATTGTAATTTTTTTTTTCATTTGGAGGGAGGGAGGGAGGGAAAGCCACAAAGTCCAGGACTCAAACTGTGGTAAGTCATGTGGGAGTCTAGAACCTTCACCATCACACCACCTGCTGTCTCGCACTAAAAAATTCTTGGGACCAGCAGTTAGCATAATGGCTATGTCGCTGAACTCCCACAGAGTCGACCACGGTTTGTGTCCCGGACCCGGTGGCTTAAAACTCACGCTGGGCACGTGTGCATGAGTGCCCAAGATCCCGAGAGGAGAATGGAGGAGAAGGGATTGAGGTGTGACCATCCCCCCTGGGGGGTGATTTCTCGCTTTCTGTCTCTATGTCTCTCTCTGTCTGGCGAGCACACGTGCCCTATAGCGAAAACCCCTCAAAAAAAAAATTCCTATCTCATACATTAAAAACTAATTTGTATGGTGAAAAAACTCAATAGCTGTATTAAAACTATAATCACAAACCAAATTCCCTGCAAAGTCATCACTTAAACCTATACTTTTTCAAGATGTTCATTTATGAGGTTTAATATAAGATACCTACTATTTTATTTGTTTAAAATATCATATAGCAATTCTACATTATCTTATTTTATCCACTACTGTATTAGAGCTGGACCATGTAAAATGTCACTTTGGAAATTATTGGTCTCTCATATATAAAACTGTTAAACTTTATAGGCAGGTATTAGCAATACACTCCCACAAGGCCCAAATTGCTACAGAAAATAGAAGACATATAAACTTTGTTTTTATTACCTCTATTGTTATAAGGTGAAAAGACAGGAAATAATTTCCAATCACAATGATAAATAATAATAAATTTTCATTCTATAGTAGAAAGCTGTAACACTGGACAAAAAAATATGAAACGAATGTTTGCAGACATTGGACAGTAAGTAGTATAGGACTGTGATTTCTGAGATGGAAAAGAGATGAAGTGAGACCTTTTACTGCCCTGGCTTTCTGCCTAGAGGCACTTTTCAGCCTCTGGTACAGGCAGAAAGAACTCAAGTAGAATCTGGAATATATATCAGAAAAGAGATAGCCATACAGAGAAAATTCCAGAAATCTGCACAGGAATCCACTCAAGTCTGTGGCCAAGCACTAAGCTGGATGTGTACATTGAAACTCTCACAACATAAGACAAAGAATAAATTGGAGATCTATAAGCTAAACAAAGATTCCCAGACTTCATGTGGTACTTGAAATATGTTTCTGACTAGAAAAGTCTTCCTTATTGAAAGACCAGTAATTCACCAGAAACTCAGAAGGATCATAAACTTTTTAATGGAGCTTAACGAAAGTTCTAAGTGCTTCCTAACAAAGCTTAAAATCAAGCCTCAAAAAGATGCAGTTGGATCCACTTGTAAATCAACTGCTTGTCAAGAACAAAGTCCAAAATTCTTTTAAAAAAGCAAAAACACAGCAGATGACATAATGGTTACACATGGTTGACTGAGGTTCAAGTCCCAGACCCAGCAGCTTAAAAAACTCAACACCAGGTGCATGTGCATGTGTGCCAGAAATCCCAAGAGGAAAATGGAGGAGAAGGGATTTTGGCATGGCCATCCTCCTAGGGGCAGGGCAGGACGGGGGGGAGTGGTGATTTCTCACTCTCTGTCTTTTTGCCTCTCGGGTGAGCACGTGCACCCTATAGCAAAAATCTTTCTTAAACAAACAAACAAAAGCAAAAACTGGGCCAGCAGGTGTCACGCCAGGCGCGTGTGCGTGCATGCCCAAGATCCTGAGAGGAGAATGGAAGAGAAGGGATTGCGGTGTGGCCATCTCACCTGGGGGGTGATTTCCGGCTTTCTGTCTCTGTCTCTCTCTGTCTGGCGAGCGCAAGCGCCCTATGGCAAAAACCTCTTAAAAAAAAAAAAACCCAAAAAACAAAAGGTCAGTTTGCAGTAGTGGTTATGGGAGCTGGATCTCACATGGCTAATGGTGTGGAGTCCAAGACTTGGAGGCTTGAGAAACTCACCAGGCCATGTGCATGCCTCGAATCACAATGGGACAATGGAAGAGAAAGAAGCGTGGCTGAAGCCATCCTTCTGGGGTGTGACTTCTCACTTCTACCCCCACATCTGTCTTTCTCCTATTTAGCTCATGTGTCCTACAGCAAAAACTCGAGTTTTTTATTAAAACATTAACAAAGAGGGGCCAGCAGGTGGCGCTGTGGCTAAGAAGCTAGATGCCAATCCTCAGTTTGAGTCCTGGACCTGGAGTCTTGCTTTCTCATTTTTGGTCTCTCTCTGTGTCTCTCTAGTGAGCAAATGAGCCCTGTAGCAAAATTAATTGATTAATTAAATGAAGTAAATCAGTAAAAAAAAAAGAGAGAGAAAGAGGGGCCAGCAGGTGGCCTCTCTCTCGTTCTGTGTGTGTGTGTCTCTCTCTGGTCAAATTAAAACAATAAACAAACAAAATAATAACTTTTTTTGAGAGGTTTTGGCTATAGGGCACGTGCACTCCCCAGAAAGACAGAGAGATAGAAAGCGAGAAATCACCTCCCAGGGGGGATGGCTACCCCCCAATCCCTTCTCCTCCATTCTCCTCTCGGGATCTTGGGCATGCACGCACACGCGCCCGGCGTGAGTTTAAGCCACTGGGTCTGAGACACAAACCGCGGTCGACTACGTGGGAGTCCAGCGACATAGCCATTACGCTAACTGCTGTTTCCCGTTAGGTCTTGTTTTTTATCTTGCTACTGAATTGAAATGTTCAGACAATTTGCATTTAACATAGTGATGTGGTTTCTTCTTAATTCTACGATACTATTTGTTTTGTATTTGTCCCATCTTCTCTTTCTTCTTGTTTGCATTTTTTGTACTTTTTGTTTGGATCAGTTGAATTTTTCTTTTTTGTGGCTTAAAACTCACCCCGGGCACATGTGCGTGCGTGCCCAAGATCCCGAGAGGAGAATGGAGGAGAAGGGATTGCAGCGTGACCATCCCCCCTGGGGGGTGATTTCTGGCTTTCTGTCTCTATGTTTCTCTCTGTCTGGCGAGCACACCCACCCTATAGCGAAAACCTCTCAAAAACAAACAAACAAACAAACAAACAAAAACAAAAAAACAAGACCTAACTATATATTGCTTCAAGAAACAATCTTTAATTAAAGATACAGGGAAAGAATAACATCTATCTATTGGTAACTAGGTCACAGTTGGCGCTAATATTACTACTGTGGTATATTTGCATTCAAAATATTAGGAAATATTGGGACCAGCAGTTAGCGTAATGGCTATGTCGCTGAACTCCCATGTAGCTGACTGCAGTTCAAGTCGTGGACCCAGTGGCTTAAACTCACGCCGGGCACGTGTGTGTGCGTGCCCAAGATCCCAAGAGGAGAATGGAGTAGAAGGGATTGCAGTGTGGTAATCCCCCCAGGGGTGATTTCTCGCTTTCAATCTCTCTTTCTGGCGAGCACACGTGCCCTATAGCAAAAACCTCTCACCCACAAAAAAAATTAGGAAATATTAAGTGTCATCCAGAGGTTAGTGAAAACACAGATTCTACCACCTCCCTCTGCAAGTGTTAGGAACCCTAAATTAAGAATCCTTACCTATTCTACTTAGCTAGCATTTTAGGTCACTCTATCTGTTCCTAGACTGGTTTCAGTTGTTCTTCATACTCTTAAATTGCTAAGAGCTTTTGTTTAAATGAGTTCTCAGGAATAAATGATAGACTCTTATTCCCGGCCCCCTG